TGCCTTGTATGTTGCCAGCAACGTTTCTTTGTCTTTGCCCCAAGTACTGCCGGCTAGCGACTTGAGGACCTTGTTGCGGCTCTGTACTTTATTGAAAATAGCGGTTGAGTGCGCAGAGAAGGAGAGCAGGCTGTCGAATGTTACTCCGAGTATTTTGGGGTTATTCACCGTCGGAATTGGTGTGTCATCGACGTGAATCCCCAGCGGTAGCCTGACCTCCTTCGTCCAGGTTGTGAACAGGGTCGCGGAGGATTTCGTAGGGGAGAGGGCTAGACACTTTGCAGTGAAGAAGCGAGAAAGTTCGGAGAGATATCCGTTTACTTTCGAAAACAGGTCATCAATTCCATTCCCAGTCGCCATGATCGAGCAATCGTCGGCATAAGAGACAATCGAGACTCCCTCTGGTGGTTGAGGGAGCTTTGAAATGTAAAAGTTAAACAGTAGCGGGGAAGGACACCACCCTGTGGAACCCCCTGTTTTATTTTTCTCTGTTTACTCGTTTTGTCTCTAAACATTACCGACGAATGTCGGCTACTCAGATAATTTGCCGACCACCGTTTGAGCCTCTGTGGGAGAGAGGAGGCCTCTATATCTTCTAGTAGCGTGGAATGGCAGACGGTGTCAAACGCCTTTGACAAGTCCAACGCTACTAGAATCGTTCTCTCACAGGGACGGTTTCGGTTAAGGACACGAGTTATCTGAGTGTTTATGGCTTTAAGTGCTGTTGTTGTACTGTGCACTTTACGGAAGCCATGCTGATGCTTCGCTGGGGTCAGGTGGTTTGTGAAGTACGGGAGTAGCAAGGCCTCGAGTGTCTTCGCTACAGGGGAAAGGAGTGTTATCGGACGATAAGAATCTCCTTTGTTGGCAGGTTTCCCCGGTTTGAGCAGTGGGACCACTCTCCCCACCTTCCAGATGTCTGGGATGATGAGAGTGGCCATAGACAAGTTGAGAACCTCCGTTAGGTACGCTACCCGAGCAGGACCCAAATTTTTCAGCATCAGCATGCATATTCCGTCGGGACCCATGGCTTTGGAGGCTTTCGCCTTCCCGATGGCCACCTGAACTTCACCGCAAGTGAAAGCAAGGGGGGCACAATTTGTTGGCAGTTTGTGCAGCCTTCTGGTCACTCGACGCTTGGCTTTGTCTACCGGAGGATGCAGTATGAACTGCCGGCTAAAATAGCTCGCGCATCGCTCCGGGTCCGACGAAGCATGGTCGCCGAAGGAAATTTCGACTCTGTCGTCGTGCTTCGTCGGATTAGACAATGACCTCACGGTTGACCAAAGCTTGCTCACACCAGAGGTGAAATTACAAGTCTTCAGGCGCTCCTCCCACTTCTTCCGCTTATGTACGTTTACAAGTTGCCGAATCTCTGCGTTGAGATCCCTGATACGGGGATCTCCGGGATCGGCCTGACGAAGGCTATCACGCTCATCAGCTAGAACAGCCGCTTCGGCAGGGAAGTTTGGACGTGGGTCCGATATACATCCTGCCGGTATGAAGCGAGCTGCAGCAGCAGTGATAGCCCTGCGGAACTTACGTTCACCGAGATGGACGTCGGTTGGTGTGGGGAGCGCTGCGAAGGTGTTTTCAGTAAACTCCACGCAACCTTTCCAATCAGCTTTGGAAAAGTTGATATAGGTCCGGTGTTTGGCGGAGGCAAAGTCGGTTGGTTTATCAATCGAGATGACTATGGGTAGATGGTCTGATGCTAGAGTAAGCATAGGTCGCCACGTTATGCTGTTTATCAGACCAGCGCTGACTATTGTGATGTCTGGCGAGCTACTGCAGTTACCCATAATCCTGGTGGGTGCGTCGTCGTTCATTGTGCAGAATGTCGAATCGTCTATCTGCTCAGCCTAGTCTGTTCCCCTACGATCGTTTGACAGGCTTGAGTGCCAAAGATCGTGGTGCGCATTAAAGTCACCTACTACCATACGGGTTTCACCTCTGAGGAGCGCACCTATATCAGGGTGATATCCTGCCGGGCAGCAGGTGACAGGGGGTATGTAAATGTTAAATATTTCGAGCTCGACATCGAATCGACGTAAGACGTGGTCCACTGTCTGTGTGTCCGTAGTCCCGAGCAGACCCTGAGGTGACTCCACCCCTCGCAGGCATTACACTTGACTGAGGTGGAGTTGTGGTGTAATCGTCTTCGGCATACACAGCAGGTGTATATTTCTGGCCCAGGGTTTGACTCGATGCCAGCCCTGAGTAGGAGAATGCGTAGTGAATGTTGCCCTATGGACGGACAACTTCTGAGATACTTCGCCGACCTAAACGGGGTTAGATCGCCCTTGGTCGGGTGAAACCCGAGTCATTCCGGTACGTAGAACACGTTCAGCTACAGCCAACATATTAACAATGGCATTGTTGCTATATTTTTTCGTTTGTACACGCTTTTGTTCTTCACTTCTCAAATACTTTTTCGAAATTAATAAAAACCAAGACAAAAATTAAAAATTATATGTTGCCTCTGACGGTATTCGAACCCGAACATGCTGGGAGCTAAGAACTAACAGCGAGCATCTCTACACGTTCAGCTACAGCCAGACATGCCAAAGTGCTTTCAAATGCTCAACTTCAATCACGTTTCGTTAAAACACGAGCAGTGATCGGATAACAAACAATGAGCTAGCGCAGAGACACCAGTTGGTCCGCTACAGCATGACAGGGGAACACTTTTGTAAGTACTCCAATTTACCACAAATAGACTACATGATCCAACGATTTTTGCAGGGGAGACACGAGTTGGTCCGCTACAGCATGACAGAGGAACACCTTTGTAAGTACTCCAATTTACCACAAATAGACTACATGGTCCAACGATTTTTGCAGGGTATATGCAATTATTATTAATTATATAGATTTTAATAGTTATTAGTGATCTTTCAGCCAAATCAGTCTTGTACTAATGACAAGTAAACAAACCAAATGACGTTTTTGCTATCTCTATAACTTCTGACTAGGAACAGTTGCTCAGTTACTCTCTCAAGTGTTCCCACTTACAGGTTTTATTTCAATAGGAACGGCTTCCTGTAAGTTCTGACTAAATCTTGTAAACCGGACTGCTATTGGAACAGACTAAGAAATTTTGATGCAAAAGATTTTCCGTGGTATTCATCATACAAATTAATCACCTTACTTGTCCGTATGTCGCTCTGGAAAGAAATATATTTTAATTTATATGTTTTCTTAAAAATAAATGCAAATTTACCTATTTTTTCTACCGGCAGGCACGAATATGGTATTCAAAACAGAAACAATGACGACGAATTTACCCCATATATTGTTGTATTTTAGCGCAAAACGATAAGTTTCACAAATATTTTAAATTATTGCCTGGAACATACACATTTAACGTTATTATTGGAAATGCAAGACTTGGCATGCATTTTTAATTTCTTATTTAATCAATTCAAATGAATAAAAACACATTTTTCTAAAATATTTCTCAATTTACATTTTAAAGTGTTTTCTGAAACTTGAATGCTCTTGTGCGGAGAATATGAGAATTGAAAATCAGGTGATCTCAGCTGTTTTCAAATGTAAACAAACAAAATGGCGCTTTCCATACTTGTAAGCCTATACAATGCTATAAGGCAGCCGAATGTCAGAAAATAAAGCGAGAAAGCTGTTTTACATTGTGGAAGAATACAAGTGAGATATCTTAGGGTTGACAGATAGTTGACAGGGTGTTCAATATGGCGATGACAGTGTGAACAATATGGCAGCCAATATGGCATACAACACCGAATGGCCCGAAGTAGCCAAACTACGACCCGAATGAAACGCTTCGTGAAAATCCAGGGTTGCGAAGTGGTATTTTGTTGGAAAATATAAAAGCCAGGATTTTGTGCAGCGCCGAATTTTAACAAAAGAGGGTTTTGTGTTCTCAAGATGAACAGAAAAGGGTTGCTGTGCTGTTTCGTTTTAAGCTTATTTTAATCTTAAGGTATCTAATTAAATATTAAAAGGAGACAAAAATTAAAGCAAAAATTTAAAATATATGTACATATCTGAAAATTATAAATTAAAAATATATATTTTCACGAGAGACAAATTAAATAAAATGGGTTAACTTTAAGGGAAATATACTTATCAGATTGGGTCAGATAGCGCTTTTACGTTATAAATAAAAATAATTCCTACTTAAATTTTATATAATTTTGGTAACGTATTTCTAAGCTGACCCTGAGATCTGTGAAATAATACATATTTATGTGCATATATTGTGTTGATTATGCTCTAAATCGCTAAATAATTCTTGCAGCAATCAGCTCCATTGGAAAGTGAAGTGACAATAGGCTGGTTTTCTTTATACAGCCCGTTTTAAATTCGTATTATTGTTATAATAAATTACAATTATTGTTTGTTTCCATTTCGGTCAACCGCGCAAATTATTTATTAAAAAAATGTCGTTTAAAAATAGCAATTTTGTTTACTTTTGAATAAGACTTTATCGAGTGCGCTATAAAGACAGGGGGATAAATGCTGTAAAGAAATATATGTTGAGTCCAATCGGTTTTTTGCTAATCCGGTTTTTGTGTAGGTATAAACAAGGTATATTAAAAAAATAAATCTCCATGAAAAAATATCGTTATTTTCGTATTTAAAATTAATCGGAATTTTATGGGGGGTTATAAAAACTCGTCTTAATTGAAACTTTGTTTTTTTCGGCTATATTTGTTATTATTTATTGGCCCAGATGCAAATATTGAATGAACTAACATATTTTAAATATTTACGGAACTACCATTTGTATGCAACCCTGCCTATCCTGTATTCAAGTAGATGTAATTCGAAAAATTTAAACGGATTTCTTTAAATCAAACTGAGCTGCGGACATATTGCGAATTCATTTTAAAACATTAACCACTACATTATATTAGTATTAAATACTTTCAATTAAGAAACAATTCTTACTAGAAAATAAATATGAATCGGTTTATTTTAAATATTCCAATGTATATTTTTTGTTAATGCAGATAGTGCGGATTTAACGTATTTTATAACCGTTACATGGGGAAAAGAAATTTTAGGCAGATTGTTATTGACAATTTTTACATAATTTACGATTGCAATCAATTTCTTTCAAAACTATAATCTAAATGATTGCAAGTTGTATTTTTTACGATCAAAACAGATTCCAATATTAGGTATATTATGCAAATGCAATCCAATTTGATTTGAGTTATTCAGTTTTAGATACATTTATATTTCTGTGTTCGTATGGAATAGTAGTTTATGTCGGGAAGCTGGCTTTAGTATAATCCGGCATTCCCTTTATTATTTACAACACATGGAATTTTTTGATGACCCTTAACAAGAATATGGACGTGCTAGTATCGGAACTATTTCTTGCACGTTTATTTATCCAAAATTTCTTCAACGGCTCGGCGCCAGTGAGGGTATGCTGCGAATGCTGCATTATACTAAAACCAGCCTTTCGACAAAAGCTACTATTCCATACGAGTGGAGCACGTGCGAAATGCGGATTTTCCCAGTTGCAGTACAGCAGTAACTCGACACCTTCCTCACCAACCGCTCTGTCCTCTATGAGCTTCTTAATGTAACTGCAAATAAAAGATGAAAATTTGAGAAAAAATACTATCACAGCGTTTCACTTGTAGCGTTTCACTTGTAGCGTTTCACTCTTGTAGTATATTGGCTATCAAGCACCAGAAAATTTCCATCACGCATGCCATATGCCACCGATTGTCGTGGATCAATTAATATACTGTCATCACAGCTTTTTGGTACTCCAGCAACTGGTGTGTCTATGGCGGAGTTATGTGGAGCTGTTGCATGACTAAAATCAATTTGGGCTCTTTGAGAACTGGCTTGTTTGTTGCGCGCTATTGGCATCAAATGTATGCAAATTAGATTTCCAAACGGGCAACTGTTGAATACAGGAAAAAATGTATTTTATATGGTTCCGCTAAAGTGCACTACTACCGTGTATAAATTGGCCGACCTTCTAATAAATCCAATCCTATTGTATCGTCATCGCCGCCAGTCACCAAGAAATTTCCACTTGGGTGAAATGCAACATCATTCTCCGCGACGAATGCACTGTATTAGCTCGCCTTCAGCTTTGTCAAATATCTTAACGCGGTTCCAACTTAACGCTAAAGCCATCAGATTGCCGTCTGAATGCCATGCCAGCTGTCGTCCCATACCTCTTCCCCCGGTGAACGTTCGCATACATTCGCCTGAAAATGTATCGCAAATTCTTAACTTGTCGCCGCACGATGAAATGAACTTACCATTGGGGCTGAATTTTGCTGCGCGCACCCATTTGTGTGTATTTTGAATCAGTATTTTGATGGCTGTTCGCCATTTTTCTAGTCTGCAAACGAATAAGCTGACGAAGAAGCAAACAAATTCAAGCACATTGTTGCATTCTACCGTACATTTTAAAAGCTTTAAAATCTTAAAACATATGTGAAAAACTTTTATAATCTGAATATTTCTAATGTCGCAATCAAAACCAAATTTTATAAATAGCATTTTTAAAAAGCAATCATCTAATATTTTTCAAGTTTTTGGGCATATATGTTACCATTTGAACAACTAATACTACCAAGTTTTAAGAGACTATTTAATGCAACTCAGGTCAAAAAAGCGCACTTTGACCAAAATAAGCAACTCTAAAAAACAGATGATCGCAGCTGTGGCCCAGGATGACGTCTATTGCTAAGATATCTCACTTGTATTTGTACACAATGCTGTTTTATGACTTCACCTGTTTATTGCGCCATGGGTAGGTACTATACAGAAATTTATTTTCTCCTTTTTCCATTACAATAGATCATAGTCTAATAATGCAATAGATAAACAATTCTTTGCTGTTTTCGGTTTTAAGGGGTTTTTCTTGCCGTTTCGCCGTTTTGGTAATTTTTAGAGCCCTTTCCTGCCTATTTGGCTTTTTTTTTATAGGTTTTAAGTCATAAAAATCCGTTCCCTAGTAATTAACTTATTCAGCCGTTAGTTATGCTCAGACAGCCATTAGATCTCAAATTTAAACGTAAGCTAGCATCCTCTTCTTTAAGTGCCAGCATATTTCGCGTACGAGTCTCTTCATCATCGTTCCTATGTGAAGCAAAGTGCGAGCGAAGCTCACTAGCCAGTCGGAAAGCGCTGGGACACAGCTCACATTTATAAACATTATCACCAAGGTGATTTCGCAAATGTTTGACTAGATCATTACTTTGGGCAAAAGCGCGTTCACAGTACTTGCATTTGTAGGGCTTTTCACCGGTATGAGTACGCATATGGCGACGCTGTTTGTCCATCAACACAAATCTGGTCGCCAGAATGGAAATTAAATTAGGAAAAAATTCAAAATTACTTGTCTACAATTTCTCACTCTTGACTTACCGCATGTCACAGTATTCGCATTTGTAAGGTTTTTCGCCACTATGGTACATTTGGTGTGTCTTAAACTGATAACTTTTAGCAAAAGAAGCACCACAAATGCCGCAATTATGCGGTTTGACCAGGCGATGTATGACTCTGTGCTTAGACAAATCGCAGCTGCAAGCAAACTTTTTGGGGCAGTCGGGACACTCGAACCGCTTAACGCCTGAATGCCGTACTAAATGCTGCTTCATACTGCTGCGAAGGGCATGAATAAATTAATAAACTTTTCATTGGTCTGCTGCGATAATCTTTATACCCCGACGATTTAAATGATTTGCCACACAACGAACACAAGAACGGTTTCTCGCCTGTATGCGTACGGAGATGGTCAACTAAGCCGGCACGAAATTGAAAGCCTGTAAGAAATATACATGTATCTATGTATTTTGGAAATCGATCTTAAGCTAAAAATATACATATATTTAGCAATTAAACTTTCCTTTATTGCAAAATTCACATACGAGGCGCGTCGGTGCTGCAATAGAGGATCCTTCAAAATGCCTTCGTTGTTTATGGTAGGCCAGCGTACGCTTAGAACTATATGTATTTTCACATAAATCACAGGCGTAAATCTTTTTTTCTTCCCCTTCCAGTTGGTCAGTATGGTTCTGCTTATGTTTGTGCAGTGATTCTGGTTTGTTGAATCCGCGCCCACAAATATCACACTTAATTTGAATACGTTCATCTGTATTTAAAGGCTTTACAGGCATATTTTTTGCCTCCTCCCATTTTTCATGCCGTTTCAAGTGTCTATTTAGAAACCGGCGCTGAGAAAACTTTTTATTGCACTTGTTGCAGGAATGTGTTGGCGTGCTGAAACTAGTAATATATACTTATATATCATTATCAAAGTTGTCTTTAATTATTCTTACGCCTCGCTTATTTGTTCCTTTTGAACTTTTACATTAGACGTTTTACAGTTGCTGTCTTTTCCAGCACAAAAGTTGGGCATGTCGCTGGTACAATAACTTGAGACCTCGTCCCACGTCGGTCCCGATTCATGAGTAGTTGCTCCTATTTTGCTTATTACACTGGTATCAACCAAGTTCTTCCCAGCTAAAAAAAAA